AATTTTTGAATGCGAGTGTTGCGCGTCGCATATGAAATGTGGCGGATTTTCAAAGGAAATTGGAAAAAGTGTTAATAAAAGTATTAAAATTTCGAGTGTAAAGCGAGGAAATAGGAACGTGTTGTCGTGTATATTTTTTTGTTCGTTTCTAGTTTTCCAGATGATGTCTATCTATAGCACTTTCATAGGCGACCCGTAACCTAAACATTTATTTTTGGATTATAAAGTTCGAAACGAATGCATTTTTTTGACGGGCGAAAGTCTAAATATAAGGAAATTGTAAACAAATTACCAGATCTGATGGGGCCGAATGCGTCAACGGTACTTTGGCGTTTTATAAACAATTTTTATGTAAATAGAGTAGCTGATAGAAACCTTAAACGAGCATGTTTTCAATTTTATGATGACTCCATTTAGTTTGCAGTCGTAGTGTAATAATTATTTTAGTAGGAGTACATTTACTAAATTTATGGCGCCGCCAAACGCGGGGCTATATCTTTACAACAATTGGCGCCTAACGTGGGGCATATCTTAGCAATAATTGGCGCCCCACATGGGGCTATATTTTAACAACAATCGGTACAGAACGTAAGTGTATGTCATAGCAAAAAGTTTGAGGGAATTTGTTAAAAGGTTGACCATTGGATTTTGATCGTAGTTGCAGTGACTGAATTTTGAACGTCATGAACGATAGAATGTCAGTGTCAGTTTCTCGGACGGTTAGCTAATTGGCCAAGTGTCCAGATGGTCGGTACGGTCAATACAATGACTTCTGTCCTCATAAGATCGACACTGGTATTGCGCCCAATTAAATTGATATCTTCGCACGGAAGCACCCTCGTAATTTCTGACACTCTCGAGCTGGGCTAGTATCGTTCAGCAGGAAATACCCGGAGGAAAGAAAAATAGTGCATTAAACCGCCGAATTAAAATCTGGAATGCAAATACCTCTAAGTTAATGAGAGGCCGTAGAAACCAATTAACACGAATAACGTTGGTAACAATTATCAAATTACGTCGGCTTAACCGTCAGATATCGGACTGATGGACTAACATAACGAGGCGTTAGCAAAAATGGGTTCACTGACCACGTGTAAAAAATTCCCATCACGAGACAAACAAACTCAACTTCGAAATCACAATTGAAGGTCAATCGTCAAAGATAGAACAGCTTCTAATTTAAAAGTTCAATCAACAACGTGCCGAATGAAAAGTTTAACGGAAAAAGAAGGAATGGAATTTTAGGAAAATGCCCTCTCATTTCTGAGTGGTTAAATTCCATCAATAGATGGCGCCATCTATCAAATCGCTTGAAATGTTACGGAGGTTCTTCAACAAGTAGTAAACCGTAAACAATAATAATGTTTCGTAATGGAGAAAATAAATGGTTACATATGTTGGAACGACATATCTCAATGGAGTATTGAAGGAAGATATGGAAGCCCCGAAGCACTTGGAGGATTATAGGAACGGAACCAAGCAAAATCAGTAAGAAAGTGAAAGAAATGCTCCAGTCTTTTTTGGAAGGATCATGGTTTGAAAGATTTCAGAAAGACATCAAGAGATTCGGTCTCACACCATCTAATTATGATCCGTGTGTGTTTTATTTGGGATGAGGGGAAGAGATATTTAGTCGAGATCACGTGGTTACCTCAAAGGACAAGAAACGGATCAAAGAATTCGAGATTTATCGATCCAAAATCCAAATGCTAGAAGCATTTCGTGTAACAATTGAGTTACAAGTGGTTGCCCCCTATTTCAACCCCACTGAATCGGATTCTGCCTGATTCCAAGTCTGAAAATGAACCGCCCGTGTGGAAGCTCGACTGCGGCGGTGAGGGTCCCTGGTTCGAATCCGGGTTTGGGCATGAATATTTTTTAATGTATATCGGGTTAAGTTGGTAGAACAGCCTTGGCTGAAACCCCGCCCACTTAAAAATAGCGGCCCTAATAAATATTCAATATGGCGGTTTTTGAACCACTTTGGTTCTCCGTCTACAATGCTCTCAAAAATGTCCAATTTTTACAGTTTAAGAATCTGGATCCACGTTTTTGGGGTCAAGGAACACAGTGGAGGGTACAACATTGTGACCGGATGTTGAAAACCTCGATTTTTCATATTTAGACCTAAATGACGCCAAAAGTATTGCTTTTGTCATAATGCGAGGAGTGTTATTTATTAAGTCTGTAGACCCAGTAGAAAGTTGTACCTCATGAAAAGTAGGTTCTCAAATTCCAAATCGAGTACTTCAACGTGAAATAACCAAAAAATGAAGCACTTTTCGGGGAAAACTTATGAATACTTTTTTAAAGTGTTTGAAAAAACCTTTCTTTCTGTTTTTAAGAAAAGTTCCTAGCATCAAAACTAAGTGAGTTAAAAAAGTTGGTCCTTTATTTTTGGTAAAAAAAATCGAGGAAATCACCCCCTAATTAGCACCCCAATTGTAATTAAGCGTTACCGCTTTACAGTTTATGTATTGTTTATATGATCTGTAAGTTTGGCCGGTGCAAAGTGCTTATTTTTGAAAAAATGTAGTTTTGAAGTAAAAAAATTTTGAAATTTTTAAATTGCCTTTTTTTTCAAAATAACTTCAAAAATATTAGTGATACGAAAAATTTACAAGAATAAAAAATGTAGCTTTTGCTTTTCTGGACATTTTGCTTTTTTTTTGTTTTTCTGTATAACACAAATTAGTTAAGATGTGGCTGTTCAAAGTTTGCATACACTCGTCATTAGTGACTCATTCGAGCCCTTTCAACTACAATCCTTTCAAAAATAAGGGTTTAAAAAAATTAATTTGAATAATCTCATAGCTTTTAAAAAAACCTACAAAATGCACTGATTTATAATTATAAATCAAAGTCACAATTAGTAATTCTTGATTAAAATTGTACAAACTAAATCGGTATATACACGAGGAGTTATAATTTAAATAATTTGTGTCCGAAATTTTCAACTTTTGAAATGTGTTTTTAAATTTCATGATTGATATTCTAGTATTACCCATACATCAGTGCTATTTATGTATTATTAATCATTTTTCAATACTTTTTACAATTCAAAGCATTATTGTATTATAAATAAAAAATTAACATTCATATGCAAATAAATTTTATTTTTTTTCGATTTGTTATTGAAAATCTATAGAGATCTAGTACGTATATTTCAAACAATAAGGGTTGTTTTTTTAATTGAAATAAAATAAATTCGTAAAATTTTAATTAAAAAAATTACTGTATATATAGTATCAATAAAGAAAAAAAATTACTACTATTCGAATTTCTTCGCAAGGGTTGGTTTTTATATGGGTAGAAATTATGTGGTAAAAAATAAAAATAGCAAAGAAATCTAAATTTAATGTTACTGTCTAATTAAATAAATTGCTTGAATTTACAATTATATGTTTAATAGGGATAGTTTCAACCCCTAAAAAATAAATTAAATAATCCTAAATTGCTTGAATTTACAATTATGTGTTTAATAGGGGTAGTTTTCACCCCTAAAAAATAAAAGGCAACCAACGGCACAAGTCCAATTTTGAAGTGGAGGGTAAGAATAACCTAAATCCAAATTTCCATGCAAATCAGTGGAGTTAAAGTATTCTATGACATTGTTTTAATTATTTTAGAGGTAAGATTTAGGGGTTAAACTGTGATAAAATCTTAAGTTATGTTGTTTAATGTTAATTGATATTTATTCACTCCTTTAAAAGATTATTACTCGTTTTAATTTGCAATTATATTTTTTTTTCTAATAGGGGTAGTTTTTTCCCCTAAAAAATAAAAAGCAACCCTAGGCATCCAAATTTTCATGCGATTCGGTGGAGACGCGGAAAATTACACAGTATCGCCGTATCGCCTAATAGCGGCAAAAAAACCGAATTTGGGAAATAATTCTACAACTTCGTGGAAAAATAACAGAACCTCTTAAGAAATTGAAGTTGGAGTGTTACTGACACTCTTACCAACTTAAAAGTAATCAGAAATATGGTGTAACATCGGTTAATCTGTTAAGAAGTTAAAGTAGGTTATTGCAAAAACAATGGATGTGGGGCACACCATCTTTGTTTTTGAAATAACTGAGTTTTTTTACGAAAATGATGGATAAACTGGTTCTCTTTAAAATCGTGAATAATTTTTTTAGTTTATTATGTGAAATTAAAAAAAAATGTAGTTTTAAAATTTAAGAAGGCACTTACGCCCTCTGGTGGCAATTTTTAAAACTGGAAAATATTTTCCAGCGATTCTTCATGACCGGTTTACCCTCGGGTTTACCCAATAATTTTTTTACCCCTAAGTCATACGACGAACGGTTCCCGAGATATGGCCGAGGAACAGTCTTATTGGGTCACCCGGTACATATATCTGACGTATTGCTGAAAGATTGCAGAAAAAAGTTGATCACGACCCCACCACTTTGTGCAGTAGGTATTTAACATCAGGGAAATGGGAATGTTTTTAGTAGAATTTTCCAATTTCTAAGGACTTTTTGAAGAAATTAAAGTTGGATTTCTTCCTTTCTTTCTAAATTCCGATATTGGTGTAATTCATCATCCTTAAATTTGAAAATCTTGAAACGAGAGCCTCGATCCCCACGTTCTGGATATATCTTGAAACTCTTATCAAGTGTACAGGGTGAGTCAACGATTCCGCAGTGCTAACCCTAAGGAAGGATTTGTCGAAATTATGCATATTTTAAAATATTTGGAATTATACGGGGTTTGATCACAAAGTAGACGGTCAAAAAGTTACATTTTTTGAAATGGGACACATTTTAATTTAATATAGGTACTACTACATAAACTCCAGTGGAATAGCCAAATTGGAGTACAAAAGTCTATACAAATACAATTAAACTATGTACTTAGAAATAAATATTTACTTATAGAATTCGATGTTGGATACCCTTTAACCTTTCGATTTCCCCACTATTAGGAAATCTATATTAAATAGCATATCGTCATTAAGATACGTAGTGTTAGCTTTCCAATCGCTTCGCGATGATCAAATCTTGCTTGTTACTGTGGTTCTTGCTAAAAATTTCGATCCAGTGTGTAGTGCCTAGTTTCAAAAACAACATAATAGAGGTAAATTTTCAAAATCAAACAATAAGTGGTTGTATATCACCGGACACCATTGGATTTGAAGGTACAATTTCCGAAATAGAAGTAAAAAATCAAGATATTCAAGATTTAAATTACGGTGCAGTTCAGAGAATTTCAAGCAAATTTCGTATCGACTTCGTCAGTACCAACATCGATATTATAAGAGCAGGAGCCTTTTTGGATCTTCCCAAAGTTAATGTAATATCTTTCATGAGCAACGAACTTTCCTGGATCAGTGAAAATGCATTTCAAGATTTGCCTTCGTTAAATCTATTGTACCTCAACTATAATAAGATCGCCGATGTGTCGCCGCGTGCCTTTAATAACCTTCCAAACTTACAGACAGTCACTTTTATCGGAAACAATTTGGAAAATTTTGACCAATCGTGGTTTTATAAAACGCCACGTCTTCTATCCTTAAGATTGGAACAGAATCGCTTGCGTAATATTCCACGAAGTGCCTTTATCAACCTACCGTCTATTGGGTACCTATGGATTAATACAAATGAAATAGAGTTCGTCGACAAAGAGGCTTTTAAAGGATTAAGAAATTTGCAACTTTTGGATTTGTCTGAGAACAAATTGAGACGTTTTAACTTTAATTTCTACACCCCTTCGAAATTGATGGATCTTTCCATTAATAATAATAACATAACGTACATATCTGATGAAATGCTGGACATAATACGAACTAAGTTATTGGTACTTGAAGTAACCGATAATCCTTTGCAGTGTGCATGCCTGGATAAAATAATACAGTGGAGTGACGCCTTTAATATAAGTATTCCACAGAGGAAATTGCCAGAGTCCGGCGTCGTTTGTACAGTTCCAAAGACAAAACCAAGCCAGTGTCTTGAAAGAAGTGATGATGATTTCCATAAGGGATTCTGGGTTAGTTTTCCACGTGAACGCACACGATGATTTTGAAGAATTAATTACAATAGCATTGTTATTTGTTAGTTAATATAATAAAATTTACTCAAAGATCTCTTGCTACAACAACCAGGGTTTGTTCTGGTTAAGGGAAAGCTGACTAGTTCCCGATTTTTAAGCTGCCATTCACAGATATTTAAATTACGTATGTTTTAGATAATGTTTTCTTTGCTTAGTGAAAGACGAGGTGAAAGACTATAATTCATACGCTCTCCAGTGCTGAGGCAAAGCAAAGGGGTGTGTCCAAAATAAGGATGTCTGTCTATCATGGGAATCTGCGAAACCATAGAAGATATGACGCTGGTTATCAATAATTTTAAACTTTGCTAATGAAATACTGATCTGCATTACCAAAAATGCGCTTTCATGATGCATATGCTGATTTACAACTTGTTTATTACGAATACAACAATGTACGGCACACAAAACAACCAGGATAGCATAATCCATCAGAAATCATCAACAAATGTGTTCCAACACTTCACTATAAAATAAAGGCAATAAAATAAATAAATAAATAAAATTTTTTTGTATCACGAGAATATAATGTGTCAGGTGTTTCCGGTATTTCCGAGGGGGTAACATGTTCTCAAATTTTGTGACAGTATTGCGACAATCCCTACGATTTCCCTATGATTGCTGCGATTGCGACCACAATCCGGCGATTGCGACGCGATTGTCAGATTTTAGAGGATTGCATTGTGATTGCATATGATTGTGAATGATTGCAGACGATTGTAAATGATTGCAGATGATTGTAGGCGATTGTGGGTGACTAAGAAAGATTTTTGGTAGCTGCTCAAGTTACTAGACACGGACACATATATCTAACCAGGAAACATATTCATTTATTTTAGCCATTAGGTTATTCTTAATTGGTAACATAGGTACTTACACACAAATAAAAATATAAACAAATATGTATTATGGACTATGGTATTCTCTCAAGTAATTTCAAAGTTGGTGTGTGGGTACGAATAACAAACCTCAAAACAAAGTTAAATAGATCCATTTTTTTTTTAAATCTTGAACCTATTCCCTATGTTCAGCTTGTCCTGACTTCTAAGACGAAAAGGACCATTTCCCTGCAAAATAATGGGACCATAAAAAATGTATTTCTTTGCAACTATTTGAATATCTTGCTCTTGCCAAATGTAATCATCAAGATCTCTTTTGAGAAACTTCATTTTATACGTATCACCATCTATAGTCTCTATGATCCTGCCAATATGCCATGTATCATATGCAGCAGCATAGTATTCTTCATTTTTTAAAGACAATTCACAACCTGTTTTTTCTTCTTCTTCAGAAAAACTTTCATTTTCCGTTTCACTTTTTTCTAAATAGCTTCCACTTTCAGAAGTTTCGCTATCGTTTATGCTTGGGGCCGTTTTTGACAGAAGTTTTATAGTTTTGCTCTTTTGTGAAGTTCTATTCGTACTTGGTGCTGCTTTTTTTTGAACAACTCTGCTGAGAACTTCGCATATTTTTGCATCTGAGAGTTCTATCCGAGGATAACTTCCCTTTTTTATCGGAAAACAGCCAGCACAGTGTTGATTTTTTCACCAACAAATTTTTGTTCTTGATTTTTATTTTTAAAAGGCTAGGATCGAGACTAGGGTCTAATGTTTTCGAATTGCGACCAGTGTAGTCTTTGATATCCAGTGAATCGTAGCTGGAAAGCGAATTTAATTCTTCTTCCATATCATTCAACTCTTCAATGGTATCTTCATTGAATACATTATTTTGGCTTGACAAAGCATCTTCTGATTCAGGACATTTGTACTCACAATATTCTTCAGAGTGATCTTGTTGCAAGTCTTTGGACAGAATAAAATCGGTTTGTTCTAATGCTGTAATTTGAATTGATTCCGGAAGATTCATGTCTAGTTCCTTTGATTTTGTTAAAGCATCACATTTTGCCTTTTCAAGTGTAGCCTTTATAATTTCATGACTTGGAAGTACTTCATTTTGGCCAACAGAATTACAGCCAAGTTTCTTGTTTTCTTCTCGAGGAAAAACAAAAACATCTGTAAAGAACGTATTAAATATTAATAGCATAATATTACATCTACGTTAGGCTTTAGTTTTTACATCTGTTTAATCAGTAAAAACATTTTTGATAAAAATGACCGTGAAAATATCACAAGAAACATTATAAAAATTAAATATTGATTTCAATAAACTAAGTTTAAAGAATACGAAATAACTAGGTTCCGCGGGAAATACTACATTTTAATACACACATACCATTTGAATCACTAATTATGTCATTTATGGCTTGGATTCTTTTTAGTCTTTGGGTGAAATCAAGCATGTCGAAGTTCACCATCGTTACATATGTACTTGTCATTGATCGTGTTTGGCGAAATATTTTTTCGCACGGCTGACTACTGCATAGCCAAGGCAGGAAATTAATGGTTTCGTCAGCTCTCATTTTTTCAATCAACAGCAATAGCGCATGTGCATTTAACTCGACACAAGTGTAGGTGTTTAATGTTATCCAATTTTTTCCCAAAGTGTATGATTGGTTATTTTTTATCCAAGCTCTCCAAAGCCGAAGGAAGAAAATAGAATACCATATTAGATATATCCTTCTTTCCATCAACAGTGTCTTATCCAAAAAACAATCTATAATGCTCCGGGTTAAAATTAAAAACTGTCTCGTCGCTTGAGCATCAACGTATTTGGACAGCAGATTTGTCACATGCGTAGCTGCTAATTTATCAATAGCATTAAAATTCATTTTATCCATTCCTAAAAAAATGAATGTAAATGTAGATATATTGTCAACCTCCTCGTTGTCAACATTACATACAAGTGTAAGTAAACATTTTTTACCTTCCAAGTCACTTGAAGTTAACCGATGTTTATCTTTTGGAACTTCACGTATGAGACGTTCCAAATGCGATGATGATACGAGGAATTTTCCCATTGGTAAAATTATATCAGCTTTTAACAATCTAGTTTTTAGTTTTGTGGCAATATGAACAGTGTCTTGAAACACCAACGGATTTTTCTTTGCAAAAGTTAGCCTAGAGCAAAGATAATAGATGAGAAATCCCATCCTAAAAAGTCTTACCTGGAAATAAGGAGCATATGGATTGTCAACTTGCTTAGAAGACAGACATGCAATTGTTTTCATGTTTTTCAGACAACGGGTGTCACCATCTGATGAAAATCCTACAACATTTATACCATGTTTTGATGTTTCGTCCATAATATACCGCCATCTGTGTGATACATCCTCTGAGGTGAACCTGTTGTCCGACCCAAAAAGGCAAATACAGAAGGCTGGCGCCCTATCTACCAGTGGCTGAGCCATGTAGACATAAGCAGTGCTTGACAATGTTTGATTTTTTATCGGATCTTGAATATCTTTTACTGAATTTACTTTAAACTGATCTTTCACGGGAAAACCGTTCACTTCAGAAATTACAGGAACGCATCCAATCAGCTGGTTAGTTTGGGGATTATATCTCACTCTTGTAATGACTGCAGTTTGATCTTCAGAAACAATAGCATTTCTAGGATACTTTCTTTTTTGTAAAAATGTTTTCAGTCCTACTATGTTTACATAGCCTTCAGTATAGCCTTCATGGTTATTTAAAGATTTTTGTAATGTAGTAATGCAAGGTAATGCGTTCGACATGTTTGCTCGAAGAGTTTCGTAAGCTAGTCGGCCAGAAGTAATGAACAAATATAAACAAAATTTTTTATAACTATCAGAAAACCGACTGCCTTTTGAATTGCCAGATTTTACTACTCCTTGTGTATTACGTAGTGCCGCATCTTTTAATTTTTCGAAAAAGGTTGTTTGCTTTTCTTTTACAGTGGGATTTTGTTGATTTGTGGATAATTCATTGGCAATGGAAATAACGGGTTCAAAGTGTTTAGATAATTCAGAGTTATTGGCCACCGATTTTTCGATTTCTGCACATACTTCGTACCAGTTTGTTAATTTCATCTGGTTAGGATCCATAATAAGCCTCCTTTTGGAGATTAGTTTTTCACTTCTTGTTCTACTGAGTTGTTGAGGAAGTTTTTGCAAATCATTTTTCCCCTGATTTTTGTTATAATTTTGAGGATCTATATTTTCATTTGCATAATCATTCTCCTCATTACTAACCGTACCGAAAGAAAAATTTTCTTCCTCACCAAAGATAAGCGCGTCTGATTCCCTTAGAAGGACATCTGAGAGGATATTAATTCGATTAACTTCGCTTAAAATATTTTTATGAGTCCGTTCGGTGTGTACAGGATCAATCTGGGCTCGAATCTTGGTAATACCTTCACTTACATGCATTGATAACATGAACTATTTGTGATTGAGCTTCTGCCTATGAGTTGTTGTCAGATACGTGGTCAGGTTTAATATTCGCTTTATTGGTGAGATATCCATCTATTGTAGTGTTTTCCATTTTTTGCGTTCGGAGATTAAGTTACATTTGTCCTTCTTAAATAAAATGTCTGTTTATATTTGACAGAATCCAATGTTTTCGGTTGTTATGAATTTTTGTGTAAGCTTTAGAAACAAATTCGCAATACAAACAATGGACTAATACGGAATCATTTTTTATTTCAATTTTAATTTCTTTAAGCAATGCAATGCCTTTATCGCGCTGATCTTTATCCTCGAGGGTATTTAACAAATTAGTTTGGTACGTCGTCACAATATTTTTTACATGATCAAATGTTTGCTGCATCGTCTGTTTTACTCGAGGTTTTACTGTTTCATTTTTTGAAGTCATGTCCGATGCATTATCTGATTTTTCTGTCTCATTTAGGCTAAGATTTTTATTTTCATGACTTTGAATTTTTGTACAAAATTGTTTCTTGTTAGGATTTGTATTTTCAGGAGGACCTCTTTTTTGGCTTGTTCTAGCGTTTCTACCTTTTTGTAAATATATCTTGCATTTTTCTGACAACTTTGAAACTAATATTTTGTGTCCCCTGACTATTTTAAACAAGCCTGTGTCCCTTGAATA